CACCTTCAACGAAATTTCCTTTCCGAGGCTTTGTGTCAGCCCAATCACATATTGTGTCAATACTTATCATTTTATCGTTATTTAAAAACTTGGAAATTGCACGGTACACTAAGGAACTACGATAAATTTTCCCTAATCGGCGCCATGTTTTTAGGCTCCTCCTATTTGACGGATCCTAATAGAAATATAGAGCATCCGACATGCACCCCGTATCTCATTATTTTGCGAAATATATGACCACCAGAGGGGCGTCTATGAGGTGTTAACCTAGGGCGCTCTCGACATTTAATTTATTTCATCTCTATTTCGGGCTAAATATTTGGGACAATTAAGAATATTTTCCGAACAGAAGTCACGTTGTGACGTAAAAATAGGAGAAATTATTCTGATCAGTAACGATACGGATGAACGTATAAAGTGGCAAATCGGTCGCGTAATCAAACTTATACCTGGTAAAGATAATAAAGTTCGGCTGGTCAAAGTGGACACGGCCGGAAGACGATTGCTGAGTCGAGAGGGCCGAAAATAGTTGAAAACAAATTGTTTGTTTTTTGGAGGGGTATTAACAAAAAGGTGTTTTAGCTGTTCCATACAGCGTATATAAAAAATGGGATTTCTTAATTAATATTTAGCCGCGCTCCAAGGGTGGTGAAAAGGGAGCTCTTATTTTATTTTATTTTTAGTTGAGGTAAGTCAGAAGTTTTTATTTATTAATGCGCAAAAAAAGCTGAACGTAAAATTTTAACATCTAGTCGCGCCCCCATGGGCTAGAATATTTTCAAAATAATTTTGTATCGTACTTTACTGATTTGCAACTCTTCAACTATTCAAAGTATGGTAATTATTAATTAGTCATCTGAAATATGGCTGTGATCGAAAAAAGTTAGAAGAAAAAGTTGTTCAGAATGCCTAGCTTATGCCAAAAATTGCACCGACCAGAAAGTTCTAGAAATATCTGGAATGATCTGGAAAGTTCCAAATGTCCGTAATTAATTATCAAGAATTTCTAGAATTTTCTAGATTTTGTCCAAATATTCTAGAATATAGAACGATCTACAATTATTAAGAAATTTTATAATGGTACAGGGTGGTATCTAAGACAGAAATCTATATTATCTACGTTAAAAAGTGAATTCTTAAATATTTTATATACCATTAAACATGCGATATATTTTAACCCGAGCAACACCGGGTTTCGCTACTAGTATAATATATATATCATGAAAATGCAAACGCAATGTCGATCGAGTAGAATTTCTCTATTTTTTTTATTAATTGAATTACGGAGCCGCGGTTAAAACTGAAAATATACCGTTTAGTTTCTTTTACGAAATAGCTACCCCGACTTAAAATATAATTAAAAACCACCTTTTTCAACCCCCCCCCCCCAGGGCCATGGCTAAATGTTATTTAAAAAATTTAATTTTTTGTAAACGCAATCGGATACACCTTATACAATTTTTTTTTTGACTAGCCGTTTATGAGATTCAGAAAAACAATTTTTTCGGCCCACCCTACTACTAAGACCTGTTCGACGTTTAATATGGTTTAACGCTTGTCTAACACTTGTAATACTTGAGTAAATGCTCACTAGGTAGAGATACACTATCTTTGTATAACGTTTGAAACGTACTGGAAAAGGGCATATATTAAAAAAATACTTACTTTTCAAAAATTTCCTCTTTATATTCCACGGAATCTAAAAATTAAAAATACTGTTAGCACATCTTACTTTCAGTTATATTTTTCAAATACTGATCATTTTTTTTCTGTAATTAGATTTCTATTAATAGATTTACAAGCAGTAACAAAAAGTGAACAACATCTTAAAAGGAATTTATAGAATGCATGTTATATTATGTGGTAGAATTATGATTCGATCTTAAAAGCCGAACTTTTAAGTCCAGAAGTTTCGTCGACAACTGCCCATTAACGATATCAGCTAAATGTATTAGTCTAATGGTTCGAGCTGTTACACATGAGTTTACCGGAAGGATAAACAATTACTTAAAATTAAATGGGGGCATATCGAACAATTAAAGTAATACATTTAATTATTATCAGCTTATATCGTTAATTATTTAATTTTATTGTTTGTTTGCTTTTCTTACTGTTGTTATCTTTGGTCTACTGTATTGCAATTTATTTCTTAAAATTCTTTTCAATTGGAATACATATTTTTATTATCCTTTCTTTTGACACTGAGAAACAAAATAATCTAGTATTTAATAAAAAGGGTATAAAATTTAGTAGTTTTGTTCGGACGAAGTGAAATTCAAGGTTCTGGGTTTCGCCGCATGAATTTGCCTGCACATGCATTCATACGTATACATCAAATGTAAATGTAAATCCAGAATCCTGAACTTCACAGTAGAAAGAGTAGTGTACCTAGAAGACCATGCAAAACTATTAAATACACACTTTTCTAGTACGATTGTACTGCAAGGCATTTCTTTGGAAAGTAGATAATTACAAGTACCTGCACAAATCCAGGATTTTATTTTCTCCATATCAATACCATTTCCACCTACAATCCCAATCCGTTCGGTATAATTCATATCGTTGCTAGTATCACTTACATTAGCCTCCAGCCTATCATTATTCGGTTTCCTTACAAATTTCATCCCATCATGTTCCTCCATATTAATATTTTGTTTTACCTTTATGAACTTATTCCTATTAATTGTTAGCACACTATTGTTTATTTTGCTATTCTTAATTTTTTCTTTTTTAGAATAATCAAAATCTTTCTCTTTCCCTGCTACATTCTTGGTTCGTTTAACATTAGTTTGAAGTTTATGAGCAGGTACTTTTTTCACTTTTTTTGATTTAAACCAGTAAGGAGTGGATTGATCTGGAGTTTTCGGTGGATTATTTAAAAGCTCGCTAAGAAAGTCGTCGAATTTCCTACGATATTTTTCTTTTTCTATAGAACTTTGACGTTCCTTCTGCAGTATCGTTTTACATTTTTCAAAATTAAAATTGGAGTCTTGGCTCAAGTTACGTACCTCACATAGAGACACTTCGTTCTCTTTATTATTACTAGCTGCACTAGCGGCTTCAATTAAATTTAAATGACTTTCATTTTCTTTTTGTAAAGTACATTGTTCCAAATATGATAAATCGTTTATATCACACAACTTGCGACAATTAGCCCTTCTACATTTTTTTAACGAAATGTTTTCATTACCAGATACAATTTTCATATTAGATATAATATTTATTTTCGGACGTTTTGCATTCGTTTTGTCAACGTCTTTCATATTTACTTCACATTTGTGCTTTTTAGAAAAATATTGTATTGAATGGGTAGCAGTTTTATTTTGAATCTCCTCTGTTAAGCTGTCATTTTCAACATTAATGTCTTTGATTTTAAGAGAAGAATTTGGGAGATGATTGCAGCTTTTTTCGTTAAGTGCAATCTTTATCTGATTCAACTTTTCAACTAAATCTTCTTTTATGAGCTTTACCTTACATGGCTTTAGTGTTTTTGATAAATAAGTTAATTTTTTATTATTTGCTATTTCCATCGCCTTTTTAGAAGGTTTTGTTTTCGATAGCTTATTAATATTTCCTGAACAATGCTTCAAAGTGTTCTTTACTTCAATAAAATTTTGTGTTATCTCATTCCCATTCTCAACTTTTTTAACAATTTCTCCATTGTTACTGTGTTTGTATGAAATTGAATGTTGTGTTTCAATATTAGTGATGGAAATAATTGGAGAGCCTAGAAGTTTCTCGTTCTTTTGAATTTCAGTTTGTTTTTCCTCAGCTTTTTTTTCACAATTTTTGTCGACAATATTATTTATCTCTTCTAAGACAGTTATTGTGTGTTCTAATTTATTATTAATCAAAACATTACTTGTTGAGTTGAAAGATTTAGATAACCTTGTCAAGTTAACATCGGCGTAATTATCGGCATTATCCTCCGTTAGTCGTGATATGGATTTATATGTTAACGCCTCTTGGCCCTTTTCTTTTACATCGCTTTGTAGTCTTGACGTAATAGGGTCTACAGACGACAGAAGTTTTGCATTATTGCATTGTCTTATACATATTGTTTCATTAATAGAAACTGTTGATTTTGATATCTTCTCATTTATTTTTCTAACTGGGGATTTAGCAGTAGATAAACGTATACGAGTTTCTTCTTTTGATAAATTATTTTCATACACTGATACCCTTTCCACTGGTCTAGCTTTGGTTGTTTTATGTGTTAATACAGGTCTTGACAATTTACTGCGAGAATCCGTACGCTTATAAAGTAATGTGCCGTGTTCTTCAGACGAACTACTCCAAATTAAATTTTTATTATGATTTATATTCTCTGAACATTTCAAGCGCGATAAATTTGAATTAAAATTTTCAGAAGCGTTACTTTTTAAACGATCGTCAATATTATTTACTAACATACTAATCTTATTGTTAGCATTGAATGTTTCATCAATAATGACATTATCATCTTCGATTAAATTTGCTTTTTCTGAAGCAGAACTTTCATAACCAAATTCTGCAGATTCTCGAATTAATTGCGATGACAAATTTGATTTTTGCCTTGAATATGTTTTACAGTAAACATTCTTTCAGTTATATTTTTCAAATACTGATCATTTTTTTTCTGTAATTAGATTTCTATTAATAGATTTACAAGCAGTAACAAAAAGTGAACAACATCTTAAAAGGAATTTATAGAATGCATGTTATATTATGTGGTAGAATTATGATTCGATCTTAAAAGCCGAACTTTTAAGTCCAGAAGTTTCGTCGACAACTGCCCATTAACGATATCAGCTAAATGTATTAGTCTAATGGTTCGAGCTGTTACACATGAGTTTACCGGAAGGATAAACAATTACTTAAAATTAAATGGGGGCATATCGAACAATTAAAGTAATACATTTAATTATTATCAGCTTATATCGTTAATTATTTAATTTTATTGTTTGTTTGCTTTTCTTACTGTTGTTATCTTTGGTCTACTGTATTGCAATTTATTTCTTAAAATTCTTTTCAATTGGAATACATATTTTTATTATCCTTTCTTTTGACACTGAGAAACAAAATAATCTAGTATTTAATAAAAAGGGTATAAAATTTAGTAGTTTTGTTCGGACGAAGTGAAATTCAAGGTTCTGGGTTTCGCCGCATGAATTTGCCTGCACATGCATTCATACGTATACATCAAATGTAAATGTAAATCCAGAATCCTGAACTTCACAGTAGAAAGAGTAGTGTACCTAGAAGACCATGCAAAACTATTAAATACACACTTTTCTAGTACGATTGTACTGCAAGGCATTTCTTTGGAAAGTAGATAATTACAAGTACCTGCACAAATCCAGGATTTTATTTTCTCCATATCAATACCATTTCCACCTACAATCCCAATCCGTTCGGTATAATTCATATCGTTGCTAGTATCACTTACATTAGCCTCCAGCCTATCATTATTCGGTTTCCTTACAAATTTCATCCCATCATGTTCCTCCATATTAATATTTTGTTTTACCTTTATGAACTTATTCCTATTAATTGTTAGCACACTATTGTTTATTTTGCTATTCTTAATTTTTTCTTTTTTAGAATAATCAAAATCTTTCTCTTTCCCTGCTACATTCTTGGTTCGTTTAACATTAGTTTGAAGTTTATGAGCAGGTACTTTTTTCACTTTTTTTGATTTAAACCAGTAAGGAGTGGATTGATCTGGAGTTTTCGGTGGATTATTTAAAAGCTCGCTAAGAAAGTCGTCGAATTTCCTACGATATTTTTCTTTTTCTATAGAACTTTGACGTTCCTTCTGCAGTATCGTTTTACATTTTTCAAAATTAAAATTGGAGTCTTGGCTCAAGTTACGTACCTCACATAGAGACACTTCGTTCTCTTTATTATTACTAGCTGCACTAGCGGCTTCAATTAAATTTAAATGACTTTCATTTTCTTTTTGTAAAGTACATTGTTCCAAATATGATAAATCGTTTATATCACACAACTTGCGACAATTAGCCCTTCTACATTTTTTTAACGAAATGTTTTCATTACCAGATACAATTTTCATATTAGATATAATATTTATTTTCGGACGTTTTGCATTCGTTTTGTCAACGTCTTTCATATTTACTTCACATTTGTGCTTTTTAGAAAAATATTGTATTGAATGGGTAGCAGTTTTATTTTGAATCTCCTCTGTTAAGCTGTCATTTTCAACATTAATGTCTTTGATTTTAAGAGAAGAATTTGGGAGATGATTGCAGCTTTTTTCGTTAAGTGCAATCTTTATCTGATTCAACTTTTCAACTAAATCTTCTTTTATGAGCTTTACCTTACATGGCTTTAGTGTTTTTGATAAATAAGTTAATTTTTTATTATTTGCTATTTCCATCGCCTTTTTAGAAGGTTTTGTTTTCGATAGCTTATTAATATTTCCTGAACAATGCTTCAAAGTGTTCTTTACTTCAATAAAATTTTGTGTTATCTCATTCCCATTCTCAACTTTTTTAACAATTTCTCCATTGTTACTGTGTTTGTATGAAATTGAATGTTGTGTTTCAATATTAGTGATGGAAATAATTGGAGAGCCTAGAAGTTTCTCGTTCTTTTGAATTTCAGTTTGTTTTTCCTCAGCTTTTTTTTCACAATTTTTGTCGACAATATTATTTATCTCTTCTAAGACAGTTATTGTGTGTTCTAATTTATTATTAATCAAAACATTACTTGTTGAGTTGAAAGATTTAGATAACCTTGTCAAGTTAACATCGGCGTAATTATCGGCATTATCCTCCGTTAGTCGTGATATGGATTTATATGTTAACGCCTCTTGGCCCTTTTCTTTTACATCGCTTTGTAGTCTTGACGTAATAGGGTCTACAGACGACAGAAGTTTTGCATTATTGCATTGTCTTATACATATTGTTTCATTAATAGAAACTGTTGATTTTGATATCTTCTCATTTATTTTTCTAACTGGGGATTTAGCAGTAGATAAACGTATACGAGTTTCTTCTTTTGATAAATTATTTTCATACACTGATACCCTTTCCACTGGTCTAGCTTTGGTTGTTTTATGTGTTAATACAGGTCTTGACAATTTACTGCGAGAATCCGTACGCTTATAAAGTAATGTGCCGTGTTCTTCAGACGAACTACTCCAAATTAAATTTTTATTATGATTTATATTCTCTGAACATTTCAAGCGCGATAAATTTGAATTAAAATTTTCAGAAGCGTTACTTTTTAAACGATCGTCAATATTATTTACTAACATACTAATCTTATTGTTAGCATTGAATGTTTCATCAATAATGACATTATCATCTTCGATTAAATTTGCTTTTTCTGAAGCAGAACTTTCATAACCAAATTCTGCAGATTCTCGAATTAATTGCGATGACAAATTTGATTTTTGCCTTGAATATGTTTTACAGTAAACATTCTTTCAGTTATATTTTTCAAATACTGATCATTTTTTTTCTGTAATTAGATTTCTATTAATAGATTTACAAGCAGTAACAAAAAGTGAACAACATCTTAAAAGGAATTTATAGAATGCATGTTATATTATGTGGTAGAATTATGATTCGATCT